AGTGGTAACTTACAGACTACAATGTTTGCAAAGCGATTCAACAGTTTGTTGCTTGGAGTAAGACCAACTGTCACTGTGTGGTCACTCTCACCACTATCCAACATCTATTAGCAAAAATAACAAAGAAGATATAGAATCATAAATGAAACAAGAAATATGAGACAGATATAAATAAGAAATAAAGATAAATGTCTTACCCCAAATTGGTTCCTAAATCCTTCGTTCCCTTTACCATGTCCTTTAGCTACAAATTCTCCAAATTTATCAACAGGAATCATACCAATCTTAGCACTGGGTGAGTCACCATGTAACAATCTGCTCTCATCACTTCCCTCCACTGCAACTGTGAGTACAACTTGTTGACTAACTGTTCCAGCATCATTATTAGCAACAAAACGATATGTTCCTTTATGTTTCTCCTCAACACTCACTAGCAGTAGACTACCATCTCCTCTCAGCTCATGAGCATAATCATCAGTCACTGGCTCTCCATTATGATACCAATTAAAAGACAACTTCGGAGCTTGTATGACTTTAACTTTCAAAAGAACCCGACGACCTTCCTCAGTTGTCACATTACTAGGGAACTCTTCTATCACTGGCTTTTTAGGCTTCATTACTGTACTGTAGGTTGCCTCTTGAATATTTTCTACTGTAATGAGAGAAGGTAGATAGTTAAAACAACATTATACATGTACATGTAACTATGTAGTACATACATGGCACTATTATGTATTGTAAACGATAGCATTAAAGTCATCACAATAATTTATGTGAAAATACTTACATTCAACACTTTCATAAGATTTATTATTGATGTTGCATGTAGAAACATCAAGTTCACTACTTGATGGTTTATCAGTCAAACCATTTTTAGTAGCCACATCGTATTTCTTTCCAACTCTCTTTTTCCTATTTCTTCCATTATAGTTATATATAGTGTCAATTTATACTTACTTTAATATGATTATGATAATAATGACAATTATTATAATCATAATTAATAATGGCACAACAGCCCCAGCTGCTACATAAATAACTGCTAAGTTTCCATTAGTGTTAGGCAGCATAGTATTACCTAAACAAAGAAATTGAAAATTTTATCAAACTTTAACCATTATTAAACTATCAGTTACTTGGTAGTGTTGTTGTCATCAGAGTTGTACTTGATAATTTACTTCTCATTGAAGTACCAGTACCTGTAGGCAATGTGATAGTCATGTGATAATGTTTTGTGACAAGTGACATACTTGTCACTGCTGATACCATTAAAGTACTTGAAGTTGATACTAAAGTAGAACTTAGAGTGACATCTAATTAAATATAAATTAATTATAAATGATAATTAATTTCATACGTATTTGACCAGTAGTGTAATCTCTATCAGTCCATTCTCCTGGTCCAATACTAGTATATGCTCTCACTCCAATAGTATAACTAGTATTAGGTATCAATCCTACTATACTGTAATAAGTGTTAGTAGTGTTAGTTATATTGTATGGACCAGTACTGTTAGACTCTCTATATCTTATCTCATGTACTATAATGATACCATTAGGTATTGTAGGAGGATTCCATAGAAGAGTTATTTCAGTTGGTCGCGTTGCATCTCTTAGATCAAATATCTCACCAGGAACTGTGTTAAGATCATGTTAAACTGATCAATATTTCATTGACTTACTTGATTCGGCAGTTAATTGTATTTCTTGTCTAGCTGGTCCATTCATATTATAATTATAAGGTATTATACTCACAGTATAGTTAGTATATGTATTAATCCTGTGAGATTATACATTC